TTTTCTTCTTGGGCTACTGGGTCTTCTGGTTTACTTAAGATGTTTTGGAGGGCTTTAGTTGATTTGTGTGCTACGGTGATGCAGTGTGGTTGTAATAGTCTGTTGGTTGTTTCTGAGATGACAAATCAGCAATCAAGAGAGACAATAAAAAAGCTAAGAAGGAAACAAAAAGACTAGAACGCATCCTCTCCAGCAGCCTACATCCAGATAAGCAGGGATTAATACCAGACAAACAATCAAGCAGAGAACAATACCCTAATCAAGGAACTCCCAAGGAGAAAATTGGGTCACCAACACTGGCAGGGCAAACTACTGTATATAAACAGGGATTAAACCCCACACTCACTAGCATTGATGATGTTAAAAGTAATTTACATTAAATTTGATAGGCCTAGGTAAAATGTGGCTAGACTTGCTAATCTGGGTGTAAGCTCCACTGAACTTAAAGCTATTTAGCTTCTGCAGACATGTATAGGATTTTTTTTTATTAGTGCCCTGGGTGCTTATACATGCAAATCTTTTAGAGGTGTAGAAAACATTTTGAAGCTGAAATATCCCAAAACATCCCACACTGATCTCCCCAAAAGTTTTCTGATGCAGGAGGAGCCTGTTCTGGCCTTATCAAAAAGCAGGCTGAATGGCCCATTTCCAGATTGAAATGTTTAAGGAAAATCATAACACTTCTGGTGAGGTTGGAACATCTTGGAACGAGAAGTTTCTTGAATGGGACTTTTCACTCTTAGCTTTATACAATTTCTGCTTTCTGCCCTTTTTTCCCTTACCAGTTCAGTCACCTCATTTGTTACCCTTAGTTTAAACCCTACATTTGTTCATCTATTTCCACCTCTTTGGTTCTGAATTTGTGAAATTGTTTTCTATTTCATAGCACCACACTGTTCTTGCTTTAAGAAGCACCAGAGACTGGACTTTGTTACTGAAACACCATTATAACTAGATAGGAAAATACCTGTGCCCTAAAAATGAAGCCTCCTAGGAATATTTTTGGATTGCAAGAAACTTCTTGAATTGTGGAAGAGAAGCACAAGTAAAACAAATCTGGGAGTATTTAGGCGGGGACAGCAATTAGAGGGAGGTCCTGTGGCAGGCAAGTGTGCAAGACAGCAGGAATTGTCTTCCTCTTGCCCTTATGAAATCTCTCCACTACAGATGTGGATTTTAATCAGCTGGAGGGTCCCAATCGGGTCATTGTTCCTTTCCTGGCTTGTGGAGATCTGAGTGCTTATGATTCTGATCGGACCTACCCGCTACAGGTAAGCTTGGTGATCTGGAAATAAAGAGAGACGGGTCATCCAAAAGTGTTTTAATATGTACCAGACTGGCTGGACTCTTAACTGGGAAAAATGTGAAGCCAGCAACTAAGCAGAAGGCTTGCTCTATTGTCTGAATAAGTACATGCAGCCCCATTCTTTGGTCAGCCCCAGTAGTAGCATTGGCAACCCTTTCCTCCAGCAAGTGGCTGCACTTGGTGCAAAGTGTTGGAGTCCACTGGGAACTCCTAGGACAAGAGCCCTGGTGTCTTAGAACTGTTGGCAAGGAAACCTGACA